TCCCGAAGCGATGGCTACGTCTGCTGTGTCAACTTGATTCCCTGAAAGCCCAGAGATGGTCTCCAAAAAAGACGCACTGTGCCACAGCGCATTATGGCGAGCAACCTGCTTCGCATGGTGAGCTGGTGGAATCATCCTTCTGAACTCCAAGCCAACTATGGGATACCTGCAACCGCGCCGTTGTTGCATTTCAAGTAACACAACTGGGGACTAAGGACCCCCGGTGCCACTTCCCTCTGAGCTGCAGGCATCTCTTCCTCACCGTCCGACCGGTGCACTCGCCTCGACACGGCATGGATGCCGACTCGGTTCAGCCAATTGCACTCCTTGAAACAGGTCTTAGCCCAGCCAACAAGAAACTAAGAAAAAAAAACACACTGCACAGAACAACCGGTGCTTGCTTGTTCTTCGAAGTGGATGGATTCTTACCTTCTCCCGCTACAGGAGCCTGAAATGTGCGCCGAGAAGAACGTCCTCCGCCAAACAGCCAAACTGGAACAACGCCTCTGGCTGGAACCGAACTGTTAGCGGAAAAGTAGGGCCGGGTATCTAGAAACATGTAGCATGTGCCTCCAGGGACTTGCCTCAACCAAATGGGCAAGCACATGCGCAAGAGAAACATGTGCCACATTGTCCGAAGAGCATGTGGTGTTTCTGGTAGGAGGCATGAGCCAGGGATCCATGGCCTGAGATTTCACCATTTGATCGCGTGTGGCGCATGCGGGGTGTACTTGAAAGTAAGGAGCCCTTGCCAAAAAAATTGAGTTGTTTGCTGTTGAAAGACTCGAAAAAAGCCCCAAGACACAGGTCCGGAACAATCCTTCCGTGTGCACTGGATCGACGACATCTCTATGAAAGGATGTGATTCTGATCTGGTCTTTACCAATTTGGGCTGTTCAAAATGGAGCCTTGGCCAACCCCATATAGTCCGCGCTCCAAACTGGGAAGCAACTACAAAGGTTCAAATCCTTCAGGAATCGAAGAGAAGGGTTCAGGATTGCCTTCGAGCAACCAGTACTTGGCGCAAAGAATCTTGGTTGCTGTTGACCCCCTGCAAAAAGTTGAACTTTTTGGGGGTTTAGTGGAAAACCCCTTAATTTCCCAAAAAGTTGAAGTCTAAAGATCCAACCCAATAGCAGTCAAGGAATTGACACGCCAATGGGGCTTCTTCAACCTTCAGCAACCTTGCGTCAAGCTCGGGCTGCTTCACAAACGGACTTCACAGCATCGCCCGGCTTGGTCTAGCCATACCTGGAACCAATGCTTCACCTGAAGTGGTTCAAGCGATCACGCTTCGAATTTCCCGGCATGGGCACAACTCCAAGAGCAAGATCCGTGAACACTTGCTTGGACTGGCTCAGGATTTCCAAAGAACACCAAACATTGTGAGGGCCCCGAGTTTGGACACATCTGACCTCCAAAACCAAGACTGAAAGCATACCTCCCGTGCCCACTTGGATTGGGTGATGCCCTAAGAACTTTGGAACACATCACACTTAACTCCGGGTTGCAACTAGAGCCCGGATCATCCCCGGTTGGTTTCCTGTTGGGAAGCTTCACAACTATCGTCTATTGAGCTCAAAGAATAGGTTGCACAAAAAAACAGAATCAAGTTTACTCACAAACCTGAAACTAGAAACGCTCTTGCATATGAGTTGTTCCATGGATGTGTATGCTGCGTGGAACAACGGGATTTGACTGGAGTTGAGTCATCCAATGCTTGCAAGTTGCTGCTCAGGGCTTTGACCGCAGCAAAAGGGCTACTGGAGGTTCGGTTCGGCAATCTCCCAAACCGAATTGCCCAAACAAGCCATGTCAAAACTCAGTGGCCTGCATGCAAAACAAGTCATAAAAGCCACATGGCTAGCATGACGAATGGAAAACATAATGTCTCCACACACAAGACGCAAGACGGTGCCTCAACTGGGCTGCGTTGCCCTTTCGCAAGCGCGCAGGCTTCCTGCGCCCGCACTGAATCTGGGCTTGCCCGGCGACGGCGAGTCATCTTCTTGAGTCTTCTCGCCTAAGCCAACCGCTACGCTGCGAAGGCACCCCGGCTCGCCCGCAAGACTCTTCTCAGGCCTTGCCAGGGTAACCAAACAACAAGGCCAAGAAGAGTCTCGCAAGTGGGGGCTACCTACCTTGGGGTGGGGCGTACCTGAAGTATCCCCCATACAATGTGGCGGCGCCTGTAAAACCAGAAATCGGGTCACACACAAGCACAGGGCAGCGCGAAAAATGAGCAACATGAAACAAAACAAGTGACTTGCACGTGACTAAAAGGTCATGGCTGCAAGTGTGACCAATTCTATTGGGAGTATCATACTTCTCTGCAATTCTTGATCAAGAATATCCTGCTGACTCATGGGCAGTCCGTGCACCTAAGAAAGATACCTCGAATCTCCAAGGTACCAGTGTAGATAAAAATCCGCGCCTGCTTCCATGTTATTGTCTGCAGGTCCTTCTAGTTGCAATCCATCAAGTAGCAGCCCACCCAGTACATATCATCTCAGTAGTTAATGGATGTGCCATGGCCGCATTTCAGTGCTCGGTGGATGAAACGCATCGTGAACATCTGGGGATCCGTGGAGATTGTCTCATGGCCTACACCCTTTCAAGGCCTTCTCCCCATCCCCTGCCATGCATAGAGTTAGGCCCAGTTATAGAATGTATAGTTTATTGTTTGCTTCACATGGAGTAACTGGTAAAATGTAAAATGTATCCTTAGTCTACCCCAGATGCAACTAAGGCCCGAAATTCCTGGTGTTTGGTGCCTAAAGGCAAAGCGACAGAAAACATTACGCGAACACTACCCAGTTGCCCCCTCCGACTAACATGGAAGTGCAGAAACCTCTGGCAAGCCTACTTTCTGGAAACGGGCTTTGTGCACTTCCATGGTGGGAGGGTAAGTCGGGCTCTGTGAAGGAGGCATTGGCTTTGAGCCCGAAGCTTCCCGGCTTTTCGGCTCCTGGAGATCGCAAGCGATCAGAACCCAACACGGGTTTGACAGGACATCCTCACCAAAACTCGAAGAAGTCTGGTGGTGAGCATTTCCTCCATATCACTGATCCGGAAATTGCTTTTTGTACGAACATGTCCCCGATTGGGCAAATCACTGCACTTCAAGACCCTAAGGAATCCCCAAGCTGATCCAAAGGATCTTGAGCACTCCGGCGGTCCAAGGTGAGGCAGTAGCGGTACTCGCAGTCTTCCTGCGCGGGTCCCCGAATGCTTTGCTAACATCCCAGTTCAAAGCGGCGGGCCATAGTTGGGGGGGGGGGGGGGAGGAAATCCCCACAAACATAAAAGTGCTGCCTGAGTTTACCCAATTGCACAAGCCGGATGGACTTAGAACAACCTCCAAAGAGGGACAAGAGTGCCAATATCGCCCGATCCGCGCAAGCTCTGCTTGTTGATTGATGGCCCCGTTGTTTCTCAACACACTTGAAATCTGCTGCGAGTCTGGTTGGCAGGTTCCACATGAACTGACTCCTAAAGTGGGTGTGGTTGGATTCTGGCTATTCAAGTTAGCGTTGCTGGGTACTTGCATCTAGGCTTGCAGCCCTTGGCACCTAGGTGGGTGTGTGTTCCGCCTTGTGAAGGAGTCCGTTCTTGCCCATCAATCCTCACCCAAGGCAAGGTGAGTTGCCGCTGCTGTTCCTGTCCCCCTTTTGTACAGGGCACGCTACATACCCTTGAAGTCTCACCCCTTAATATGGAAACTTGCGTCAAAAGGCTTAAAATGGCCTGGAAGGTCATGTTTGAACCACATCAAGGAGTCAAGAAAATAAACCCTGTGCTGGGCGCCACTTTCGTCCGCCGAAAAATGTCACAGCCGGCCAAGGCCACCTTGCCCACGAAGGCCGATTGAAAGGCCGCACCTGAACAAAGCAAACGCGCAACCAAGCGATATACACCCACCCAAACAAACAAATACTCTAGAGAAACCAAACAGAGGCCTAGACATGACCTGGTCTGGAATCAGAACTCCCGCAGGGGACGAATCAGCGATAATTATTACTAAAAGCAAAGCACTCTGGCAAAATTCGCTCGGTCTGTGTAAGTGATAGAAAACGGGACAGGCAACTCCAGGCACGGCCACCGCTGATTTGGTCGCAGCGGCGCTACGAGCTTCCGCTGCCACTGAAAATTGCGGCTTGCCGCTTTACGAAATCGACCTCGCTGTGCACATGGATTGCTCTCGAGTGCATGCTGTTGGCTAAAGCCTTTCCTGTTTTAAAGTTGCGAGTCATCGGAAACACTCCGACTCAGTATCTAGAGTCCATAGACTTAACAACACACAACTGTCTATATTTGAAGAAAAGGGGAAACAAACCAAAACGGACACGCATAGAACGATATGTCATTCCAAACAACGCCATCCGGCCGGTCAAACAGGTCTGCAAGCACTCGATGGTGTTTCGCACTCGTTTTGGTTCTTTTGCGCTGACCGAAACCGAGATGTCAGCCCCAGGGAATCCGCCCTGTTGACCCCGGATGGATAAACCGACAAACCCCTGTTTATTCACATGGGGGTGTTCCCCTAAAGTGATGAATCCCCACTAAAACCAGGGACACCCCCCCAGAATAATAAACAGGGGTTTATGAATCCGGGGCCAACATTTCATTCCCATCGCGGGTAGCTGAGGCATGGAGATCCAACGAAAAAAAAACAAAACAAAAAACAAAACGAAAGTGCTCGGGCGCTCCACAAAATAAACGAAAGTGCTCGGGCGCTCCACACAATTCAGCAAGGTCTCGGCAAGCCACCTGGATGTGCGGCAAGAAAATCGGGTCCGGAGTGCGGGCCTCGTATCCCATTGATCAGTCACTTTAAACCTCTTAGTTACAAAAAGGTATCAAGACATTCTCTAGATATGCAAAACCTAAAGCAAATCATGCGCACGCTTGGCCATCCGTGGTGCCCACGCTACTGGAACGAACTTCTCCAAGCGCGCTCCGGCGCGGAAGCCGTCGCCGCGAAAAGAATCGACCGGCGCTCAGAAGAGCGACGCAGAGCGCTTGGAGGCCGCCTTGGGGTCTGCCTCCGGTGCCTCCCCAGGCCTCAGCGCTAGAGCAAGCCGTACGCGCAGGTCCATGGGAGTAAGGGGGTCCATGGGATGGTGTGGGCGTGGAACTTCGAAGCTACCCTGTGATTTTCGCCTTGAGAAGGGGGTGGCCTTCAACCCCTTAACGCTTTAGCAGTTGAAGCGTATGTCATGTTCGCCTGCAGCTCAAACCTGGAAGGCGCGAGTGTGGGGGTAAGGAGAACCCTGGGTCCTATGCGTCAAGCCACACTCGCAAACCATGCTTCTCTGGTTTTTTTGCGACAAGGTTCGAACATACCTACCAGAAGACACGTAAACGAGCCGCTGGCCAGTTCTCATCGTTCCTATCTGCCCCTTTGATTCAACGCAAGTCATTACCAACACATGAGTCGTGTTGATTGGCAATGTTGCTCACTGGATGCTCTGTCTCTACATGCAGGAATAGCCGCTCTCAAACAAAAGGACATACTGGGTTAGCAATCCAACAAACTTCTTTGCTGCAAAAAGCATTGGACTGGTTCTGGTGTATGTAGAATATAAATTTATACGATTGTTATTCGACTAAATTGTCATAAGAATGGCTGCAAGAAACGCTTCGACCGACGAGTTGCAAATGTTGTCCAGGATTGACTAATAAAGCGTACACAAGTCAAGATGACACCAACATCACGAATGACCTCATGTAATCCCCAAGCTGATGCAGCTGTGAGCTGTGTTTGGCTGAGAATCAAGGCACCATTGCATGAGACATGTCTGCCCTGGTGAATACACTCACCGCAAGGAATGATACCCAAAGAGTTGAAACCGCCCCACGGGGCGAAAAGATGGCCATGGGCAAAAAATCCCGTACGATGAACATCCCAATCCCCACTAAAATTGGCTCTAAAATGGGTGGTTAATTCACCTACTAACCAAAATGGGATTGCATTGATTTTGACCCACAGCCAAATAAGGAAAGCCTAGTATACGAGGCAACATGCAAGGAACTTCCACTCGAGGCACACAAACTTCAGCGCCGCAGCGTTGATGCAGTAGCGCTTGCCTGACCGACCGAACTCCTTTCCGACCTCTTGATCACGTGAACATGCTCCGCTGTTCAAAACCCATTCATTGATCAATCCAGAATACACAAATGTTCTGTGAGAAAATTGGGGGCAAACTCCTTTGGTTTCCGGAATAAAACATCTGGTATCCTCTGATCACAAAGCCTCTCTCTTGCTGCTCCTGATCCTTCCAAGCCACCGTAAATCCTGGCCTATGGGAAGGATTTGGTCCATCCACATAGGGATGCCCTAAAAATCGCCCCCGAGTGCGCTCCTTCCAAAACCGGCCAGCCTGTGGGAGCGGGGCCGTCGTCAAAGACATGGCCCAGGTGCGTCATGGAGGCAGCGTCCAAGACCTGCGCTGACTACGCCCAGATCTTTTCCTGGTTGGAACGAGCCCTCTGCAAAAAGGGGAGTAACCTTTTGTGGGTTCGATTCGGAAAACTCTGCAAAAAGAGGAGTAACTTTTTGTGGGTACAATTCGGAAAACCCAAATGACGTCAACCAATCAGTTAAAAAAGTCCAAAGATCCAATAGCAATCAAGGTTTCTTCATGGTTGATTTCAAGGGAACACCAGAGGTGTTTTTGTCAAGGGCCCGTGTGTCTCTTGGTTCACCCCGAAATAGTTCCCAAGCACAAAGATGGGTTGGCTTGTCAGGTTCCGCATGAAAAGTACTTGCATTCATCAATTCCCATGAGGTAAGGGTTCCTGGGTACTCCATCCGTAGCATGTCAACTGGTTGATCCATCACTCAAAAGGAACTATTGGACATATTGGAGCTTTTGTGCTTGTGTTGGTTGACCCTTCGGGGATGCACACCTTTGAATTCGGAAGAACAGGTATTGGCAACTGGGGAAAGGGGGGAACTGTCTCGGCACTCACAGTTTGCGCACAAGCGGATCACCAAATTGAATTCAGCAACTTAGCTCCACACATGCAAAGCCAAGGCGAAAATGGGTGTACTACTGAGACCGTCATAGCTTGCCCATATTCATGGAAACGCTTTCCAGCAAAACCATGTCCAGCAAAGCGCTTTGGCTGCTTCAATGTTCAAATTTCTTGGCCAATCAGCACGACGCTGGCTGCAACGGTTGGACACATGTTCGAAGGAACAAGCCATGCTCTGGAATACAATGACAAAATACCATGGCCAAATCTTTGGCATCCAGCCCCAGTAACAAGAAAGATAGGCCGCGACCCGGTCGCAAAAGAGCGGGGCCGCCTTGCCATGCGGCTTGAAAGAAGGATGCCACAGATCAAGTTGATCTCATCTGACAGAACACGACTGGAAACAGCTACTCTTGCATTGTCTTGCACAGCGTCCGGATCTTGAACAGATGAAGCGACTTGCCAGCAACAACAATTAGATAGTACCTAGTCAGTGATTCCGGTTTTCGCTTACTAGTTTTCTCTTGTCCACTTGCTATATGGTTGCAAATGAAATCAAGGGGATCATATTTGCTGCTCGACAGCGTAGTTGGATTGCGCTCGGGAAGTGCTCTTGCATATATTGTCCTTGGACCAAGAACCTCATTTACTGTGTTGTAAATGTGAAAAATACCCAGCTCAAAAAGTGATCGAGCCCAACATAGGAGTGCCACGTACCAAATGCTGGGATGCTCCGATCAATTCATATGGGTATGTGCCAAAATAGGGGGACACAATGGTGGGCTTTCTTTTTGGTTTCCTTTTTAATACAGGGTAGCAAGGGTACTTGCAACAAATCACAGACCTATATTATATTGATAAACCAACCGCTGTTTGGGGTCTGCCACGTCCAACTCGACTTCGTGTGCCAGGCCAATTGCAACAGTTCCCACACGGTTGCAACTCACACTGGATCGCACTTGGGGAAAGAAGCTAGCTTGCAGGTTGGCCCAGACGCAAACAAGATTCCAAGTTGCTGATGCACTGCTTGCTTAAAGTCACATGCACGATCGCCAAACGTCCAGCTTGGCATGAGTTCAATTCTTCAAGAAAGGGGACAGCCATCCCCACTCATTCCAAAGAACATCAATTTCTGCAACACTCGTGTGACAGCTCCTCATTTGGCCGTCGAAAAGCGTCGAGCAGGCCTCCCCCCCTTGAAACATACCGGAAGAAAGAAACTCAATTGCCCAAAAACTTGTTTGCTGTTGACCCCTCTGCAAAAAGTTTACGTTTTTGTGGGTCCAACGGAAAATATATTGTTTCCCAAAAAGTTAGTCCAAAGATCTAATCAAATTGCAATAAAGACAAGTGGCGCTTCAACCACCCCAAACACGGTAGGCCAAAGAACACCAAAGCAACACCTGGCCTCCGTCCTCCAGAAGAGCTTGGGCAGCGTCTGGCCGCAGTCAGAAACCGAGCCCCGTTACAACCAGACACGCCCTATCTGGGAATGAAAGGTGAACCCCAAAGGTCCGAGCGTCGATGAGCGTCGGCTTTGGAAGTCAGGGCGTCGATGAGCGTCGGCTTCGGAAAAGTCAGGCTGCCTAAATGGCTCTGTTTGTTCCCTCTTGGCTTGCTTGAGAGGATTTGGGTCTGTCTTTTGTTGAGGCTACCCTGTAATTAAGGCATCCCCAACATGGCCCGAATTTGACAGGCACCCCTGTGTGCCAACACAGGTTTAGAGGAGGCTTGAGATTAACTGGACAAAGGAGGTAGATGGAGGTAGCGGAACATCTTCCTGAAATGACTACGGGCTTGGGCCAAGTGACTTTCACTTCAAAAAGATTCCCTGAGACGGAATTTTCAGCTGCGGGTGGCAACAAAAGCTTTACCTTCCTGTGTTTGCAGGTTTGTTTTGACGTGATCCCAGCACCACCCAACTCAGGAGAACAGCTGAGCCCTGGGCAGCTAGCTGGCTTCGCACGCTGAAATCGAAGCAAAACGTTTAAACTCCAAGAAATTGGGACCAATGTTCCAGAGAGCAGTGCGGATTCCAAAAAGGATGCGCGATTGCAAAGGTAAGTTGCAACACTCCATGAATGACACCTACAACTACCATCACATTGAAAGGAATGATCCATTGTGCAAATCAGCCCCTCCTTACGCGTCCACAGTCACATCACACCGCGGAGACACACACACACACAAACACAACCACTTGTGACACCAAACAACACACATGGATGTGGTGCTCGTTGTATTGGAGGCTCACATGCGATGAACTCATTGAAGCAAACCATGCAACGGAAAAGCAACAGACTAACCCAATGGCTGGCTGCTAAACCACCCACCCAACCAACAAGCCAGCCGGCCACCCAATCAGCCAACCTGCCAGGCAACCTGCTATTCAGCCAGCCATCAAACTCACTGACCAACCTTTCAACTCTCTTCCTACACAGAGGATGCAGCAAGAAACCCAAGAGCCGGCTGCTCACCCATGGGCGAAAGCAAAGGGTCTGCCGTGACTGCGCGACTTTTCTGGACCAACCTACTCCTTTCACGGAGATTCGTGGTCTGCAAGGCATCCAAAGGAGCAAAGGCCAGCAACAGACCTCAGGCAACTCTTGTGGTTCACCTGGAGGCGAAGAAGCCTCCAAGCAGTTCCAAGTCTTCTAACAGGGCTTCCTGTGTCTTCAAACCTTAGCCAAAAGGACAGAGTGGGCAACCAAGAAGGTAATGTCCATTAACCCGACCTCAGGTGGGCTTTTTCTCATTTCCATATCTGCAGGAACCCCCCCGCCCCCCTTCCCCCCCCCCCCTTCCCCTCCCCTCCCCCCCCCTCCCCCGCTTCCCCTTACGCGACCCCAAAACGGGTGCCGACGGGTCCTGACAGAGACGGAGACTCCCGCCTGTTTGTCGACCGGATCCACCCGCTCGATCACGTTGTCGCTGTTCACCGGGGCCCAGAAGCTTGGCCATCCGGTACCGCCTACACCCATTCTGAAGGGGAAACCAAAAGGAACACCACCCATGACACATGGGCGATCGGACTACCATAAAAAGGAAAATCTAGGGTTTCCTATGTGTCCAGGGAAACCATGGTTTGGGCCACCCCTACTCTTGACACATACCCATATCAGCTGACTACCTGGACAGTTGAATTGGTTTGTTGCTGGGGAAGGTTTCCCACTTATCGTCGAGCATTGGGTCAAGGTTCCAAACCACCGATCTCAACCACCAAAGACGGGTTGCCTGACGAAAGGAGGTGTCAGGTGTTCTCTGACTGATCGTGGAGCTGGCTTCCCATGGTAAGAAAAACACTCCCTTCTTGCTTGGGTACTCCATAAAATGACACAAGCCCTGCTTACTCCATCATTCAAGAAAAAACACGGAGTCTTACTTTCCCTGTTCAAAAGAGCAGCTTCTTTGGGAAAGCCCAAGCCCGCAAATAAAAAAAAATATCTACGAGCGGGATTTCCCCATTGACCCGCCATTGATTGAAAGTTAAGGGACGCCTGGGGGCTTCGTGCACAAAGGGAACAAAGGGCTGAACCCGATGTGCACAAGGAGGGCTTGCCTTGTGGCTTTCGGGAAATCAAGGGAGCCCTGTTGGCGGGGGCCCTTTGCATGTTCCGCACGTCAAACAACCTGCTGTGGAGTAAAGGCGCTAACGATTGTCCGAATAGATGATGGGATACCCTGCAAATACAAAATGAAGTCGGAGATTTAAGAGGGGGGTCACTATCCCCAAACTACTGCCAAGTGAAACTGTGGAATTCACCTACTTCTTAGCCAGTGTGGCTACTAAAGAAACACACATATATATATATATATATATTATACTGTATATTCATATTCTGTTCTGTGTGCTTCACATCTTTCCCGGGCAGCGTGTTCATCCGAGCCAGAAAACTTGGGATGCCAGTCATTGACCCTCCGAACGAGAAAGCTGGAGGGAACTTCCAATCTGGTCTCAAAGGATAAAGCTTCCGCTAAGCAGGGAGCCCCGGCAGAACAAATAAAAACGGATCCGCCGGGGCGCTGTTGAACTTGGCCTTGGAGGAGAAGAGCGGCTCGCCGCTGATGGGCGAGACGTAGGTGCCCTCCTCTTTGTTGTCCCATTTCTCGGCTGAAAAAGACCGCAATCCATGGGCAGCTGAGCCAACGGTATGGGTGAGCTCGTTGCACCGCTTCTTCAGAGTTAAGTTTTCTGAGCTGAGGAAGACCGGCTTGAATTTGGCCTCCGTCAAAGGTCAGCATCCCGCATCTTTGCCCAACATATGTTCAAAGGATTGATCAGTGACAAGGGCGCCCTTTGCAAATAGGCGCATGTTAATTGCCGATACAAAGTAACGGTAAATAGCCCGTTTGTCACCAGCTGATGTGATACATGATGGATCATGCATCGAACTTGGAATCTAGATTTAGAACTCCCGATCACCACATTCAACCGGGTTTGTTTCAGTGGCTAACCCTAGGGCTCGAACAGCTTGAGTAGGTTGGTCCTCTCAGCTACCCCTGTGGATACCAGTTTCCGCTACAGTAAGTAACCAACAAGTGCCCTTTTGATTACTAATGGCTGGCAAAGTTTTCTGGGCTGCCCTCAAATCCCTGGCTAACAGTTTAACTTTTAGTGGGTTAAATGGAAACTACCACTAAACCCTAAAAAACGGTAAAAAAGCTAAGGGAACACTGGTATCCTTTGACTTGCTACGGTCCCCGGAAATGCCAGGCGGCGAAGCCGTTGGTGGTCTCCCCCGTAAAGGCCGGCTCGGTGGCAGCCTATCCAGGGAATTCAATTGGAGCTTAGCCCCGCGAAGGAAAGGCAATGGTGTCTAGGTCCTCCAGTAGAGAGGTTAGAATAAGGGCACCCTTGTGGCACGAGGCCTCTCGTCGGAATGCCACGCAGGTCACAGGGACATACCGTACCCAGGACCGGTTGAACCCAAGAAGGTGGGGGGTGAACCCAGAGGGTAAAAACCCGAAGTGCAAGCGACGTGGCGTCGAATTGAAAAGCCCAAGTGAAGAGGGCAGATCACGAAATCAAAGCGCTCAAGGTATGCTGTACAAAAGCGGAGGACCCGAAAGTTGAACAGGGAATCGAGCAGCAAAGCCTCATCCAGCCCAAGGAAGTCGGGGCCTCCGGAGCCCTTGGCCCAAGCGCTCTGAGAAGTAAGGAAAAGCACCACAAGGTAGTAGCCACTCACAGCAGGGGTCTGTATACTATCAAAGTACCAGTCCCGCCGGCAGGGAAGGCAGAAAACTATCCCGTATCCACCTTGCCACCGACTGCTGAAAGCACTGGAGACCCAGAGGCACCATGAGATAGGCAGCCTGCATCACCACTGCCAATAGTCCCACAGTGACAAAAGGGCACAACCCAGGCTCCAAGTAGAACCACCCAAGCATGCTGACGCAGAGCGTGAAGAGGACGAGTCATCAAAGGGAACAAAAAACTGCAAGGACCGCCGACGGACAAACAGCCCGCGGTACCTTCACACGTACAGGTGTTCAGAAGATGGGGCTAGCCCAAAGGCCAGGGATCTACACGGGCACAGCGAACCGGAAGCGCAGCGGCGCCACCAAGCGGAAAAGCACCCCATGAAGACACATCACAAGCACGGCCAAATAGAGGAGGGTGAACAGGGGGTTCACGGGGAGCAGGTTGAAGACAGAGCTGCCAGCCATGGCTTTTTGGACGCTGGACAGGGCTATGGAGGGCTCAGCTGCCTGAGCCGAGGGGTCTTTGAACCCGGACGGCTATAAGGGGACCCCTTTTCTCTGTAGTCTATTTTAGTAGGGGGACCCTCCCAAAAAATGTAAAAGGGCACTACTGGGGGACCTAGGTGTGATCACGTGCACATCTAGTCCATTGGTTTATGAGAAGCCATGCTCTGTTGGAAGACCCTCGGGGTCCTTTGGGCAAGCGGGGTTGCTCCGAAAGCAATGGCATACAGGACAACCAAAGAACAAACCGATTTTCGACCCTTGGCTGTTGGCTATCCCTCAGAGACATGGCACCTTGCCAAGTCTTCGGGCCGAAGGCAAAAGCAGGGCCCCAAGGCTTCCCTAATAAAGATTTCCTTTTGGTTTCCCAACAAGCCACCTCCAAAAAGAGTACCCACAAAAAAAAGACCCACTCATTTACACAGCAGGCCAGTACGTACTGGCTGTCGTGCGTCTCTCGAGGCCGCAGAGAGAAACCAACGGAGCCATGGGTTTCCAGCCCAGTTTTAAGTCAGCCAGCATCAACCACCATCATCCTATGCAGCCCACCAACAAGCACCTCGGTCCCTGCTCAGCACATGGGAACCAGAAAAAACATGTTCAGCGTCCGGAGAAACATCATAATGCCTGCCAAACGGAAACCAGACCATGCCCACACCTCTTGCCAGTGTCGGAGCTTGTTGGGCGGCAGGCAGCAGCAACAAAAGAACAACTGAGACACCTAGCAACCAACAAACACAACGCCATGGAGGGCACAACAACTAACAAGTGGAGGTATGGTCCTGCAAGCCCAGCCCCAAGTCTGAGCCTTCAAGAGGACGCGCTGCTGAAATTTACCTGGGCTCCAAGAGAGGGTCTCCACGACCCCGAGTTTTATGACACACGGGAAATGGAGTGTCTTTTGGGTATAGTGTTTATATGATGGTTCTAAACCCAACTAGATTGTGCAGGTCTTTAAACATAATGGCGGGTAGACCTTTCAGGTCGGTGTAAAGGGAAACCAAAAGAAGACCCTGATGCCTCCAAGTAAATCCGACATTGTTGCCTTGTATAGAGGGTTAATCAGCGAGTCTGCTTCCCTGATTGAGGTGCAGCCACAGGGTACACCCCAAGGAGTGCAAGAGTGTTGCATGTACATGACCTTTACATTACCCTGTTTACGTTGGTCCCTTTTGTTGCCTGAAAAACATCACTGCGCAACACTCTTGTACCATGGCCAGTACGCCAATGGTGCCAGTGTACAAAGCGGAGTCATCCGTAACAGAACCGCACTTGCCACTTGTTTTCACCGTGCGTTTGCTTTTGTAGTATCACACTCTGACCAGATCCATTCTTCCACGTGAGCACAAACGCACATGCTGTGCACACAGGGCCTCAGGTACGCGCCACACACAAGCAAACACGCGCACGCCCGCAAACAAAGTTCGTCCAAAAGGGCCTTCGGTGACACTGTGATCATGGTTGCCGGCTTTTGGGCTTGCAGCATGACTCTCGAAGCGTCATTTTAACGGCTTTCGCAAAATCTAGTGCTTTTTATTCTGGCTTTGTAGCCAAGGCAAAACCAAGAAACCGAACAGCGCTGTTGGCGTGCACGAAACACATGCAGCTGCTTCCCATCCAATTGGATCTCACTTAGTGGGTAGTGCTTTTTTGTTGGTGCTCGGGGCCTATACACTGCACACATGCCTACGCGAGCGCCTACGCAACGCCTCCGCGACTGCAAGGGGCGCCTACGCGGCACGTTTGTCTCTTGTCGCGCCTACGCGGACGCCTACGCAAGAAAATCGCGCGTAGCTTTTTTCCAGCTCGAGCTTTGCAATGCCAAGTCAATCGTTGTCTGACACAGGTGCAGATGATGTAGAAAAAGCAGATGATGTGGAAGATGATTGCGCCGCCAAAGCGTGAAAACATGTTTGATTTCTCAGAGATCCCCTTTGTCGTGGCTCTGAATCAGCATTTGGGCAGTGTTTTTTTGGTTGTTTCAGAGCCTATACACTACTTGGCGCCTACGCGAAGGCCTACGCAAGCCTACGCGGCCTGCGAGGGGTGCCTACGCGATCACAAGTCAGCTTCCAGGTGCCTACCTACGCGGGCAAACGTTGAGTTCAAGTGTCGAAGTGCACTGTGGCAGCTCCAGCTGGAAAATCGCAACTTTTCAGTGCAAGTGCATTTTGGCAGCTCCGGCTCTAAGATCAGATATGCAGTACAAGTGAGAATCCAACACCTGTCCAAGGATCTGGCTGCTAGAAAAGGTCTACGCATCCAAGATGCCTTGAAAGCCTACGCGAATGCCTACGCGGGGCTTACGCGGAGCCTACGCGAAGACTGCAGAACAAACAGCAAAAGAAGCAAATTCCTTCATACGTGGCAAACAGTCATGATTTGTTCAACAAACGCCTACGCGAAAAGCCTTGTTGGTTCAAGAACCCTTTTCTCAGTATGTCTGCAACAACTCAGCCAAACCCATGCCCATCCAACTCCATCAAGTGCCTACGCGCGCGCCTACGCAAGAACAAATACAAGGATGTGCGCGAAATGCCTACACGATGCCTCCGCGCGCCTACGCCCCCCAGCTAAATTGCCTACGCGGACATGATGCAGTTCCCTTTTTGTATAAACCCTTGATTCCAAGACAAAAAAAACGCTGCCCACTTGAAATAGGATTCCGGGAAGCCCAAAGCCTCAGGTGCATTCAACCACAGGCCTGTTAAAACACATGCTTTTCTGCGCGTGGCGTTGTCAAAAAGGGCTGCCCATAAAATGGATGGCGTTCCTTTGATTAAAACTGTAACAAAACAGCATTCTCGGCAAAACATAACACACCCATGTGGGTGCTCTGCATGCTTCCCAAACTATGGACCAAGACTACCCTCCAACAACAAAACGTAGGGACAGAGCTGAGTTGCTTGTTCCCTAACAAGTGCTTCCAAGAACAACGAGATGTGTCCCAGGCACTCAGCGATTTTGCCGCCTCCTGAATCTCGTCGTCGCTCATCTCTCTCACCGCATGCGCGGGGGCCGGCAGGCCAAGCCTCGGCGAAAAGCGGGTTAGGCTGATGGCAAAACTCGGGATGTAACCTAACTGATCAAAGGACACCTGCCCCTTTTCAGTTCAAATGGTTCAGATCTGCCATGGGCTTATGACAACTGCATGTGATTTGCAATCCTTAAACCCGCCTGCCAAAAGCCTGCTGGTATTGTTCACAATCTGCATAAGGATTTGGGTTGGAGGATCTGTGCCGTGTCACCAAGCTTTGGGAACTGTGCACCTGCTGGGCACCAGAGCTCAGAAACAGCATGGAATCTTTGACATCAGACGCTCGTAATTCGCAACTATAACAATCAATCATTCCTGCCTTTTATCCGCGCTTATCTAGGGCTGATTGACACCATCGTGTTGATGTACCCTGCCACCCGGCATGTAACCCTTTACCACTATCAGGGCCTCCAGGCGGTGTCCATGGTGGGAGGGTAATTACCCATCATGTTGATTCATGCATTTGCTCTTCTCTACATCATGCTGATTCATGCATTTTCTCTTCTCTACATCATGCTGATTCATGCATATTATCATTTTGACATCATGTTGATTCATGCATTTGCTCTTCTCTACATCATGTTGATTCATGCATTATCTCTTATCTACATCATGCCGATTCATGCATTTTCTCTTATCTACATCATGTTGAGTCATGCATTTGCTCTTCTCTACACCATGTTGATTCATGCTCTTTCTCTTCTCTACATCATGTTGAGTCATGCATATTATCTTCTCTACATCATGTTGATTCATGTTTCTTCTCTTCTCTACATCATGTCAATGTTGTTTCATGCATTTGCTCTTCTCTACATCATGTTGTGTCGTGCTTTTTCTCTTCTCTACATCATGTTGATTCATGCATTTGATCTTCTCTACATCATGCTTTTTCATGCATGCTCTCTTCTCTACATCATGCTGATTCATGCATTTGCACTTCTCTACATCATGCTGATTCATGCATATTATCTTCTCTACATCATGTTGATTCATGCATGTGCTCTTCTCTACATCATGCTGATTCATGCATGTTCTCTTCTCTACATCATGTTGTGTCATGCTTTTTATCTTATCGACATCATGTTGATTCATGCATTTGCTCTTCTCTACATCATGTTGATTCATGCATTATCTCTTATCTACATCATGCCGATTCATGCATTTTCTCTTCTCTACATCATGTTGATTCATGTTTTTTATCTCTCTACATCATGTTGTGTCATGTTTTTTTTCTCTTCTCTACATCATGTTGATTCATTCATTTTATCTTCCTCTAAACAGGATACTAAAAGATTTTAGGATGGGCATTGATCCATTGATCCTAGCCATCCATTGATTGGACCGCTCCACGGCCAAGCCACGCCACAGCGGCCGCAAGCAGCTCCCGGCGGCCGGAAGGCAGAGCCTTACAACCCCCAGGCGGGTTTTGGGTAGCGTGGGGGCAGCCCTCCTATGGCTTTCCTCTCGGTTGGCCTTTTGAGGGTAAAAGCTAGCGTGAAGGGTTTTCCCATGCGACATGTTAGTCCACAAAGAGACCCTTCAATGCAGGCGACCCCCCCTTCGGACTCATCCGGAGGAAGTCCGCGCCTACACTGAGTTGGCCAAAGCAGGCGGGGTGCGCGTTAGACAAGTATCATACTTATCTGGGGTGGCTCCTCTTTCAGTGACTGTAGGGCGTTACTTGACCTCTCTTAGCAGGGTCCTCCGCAAACCTAGGAAGAGAGGGTCGACCCGCCGCCCATAGGGAGGGCGCTGAGAAAACTGTGCCAACAAAATCAGACTTTGACTGATGCGCTTAGGGGAACAAGCATGTCCGCTCCTGCCAGATTCAGGTGTGGCGTTGCTGTTCAAACAAAAACCAGTAGTTGCGAGATTGCGTATATAATTATTAGCTGGGCTGCTTGAAAGGAAATCACAACGCGCAAAAACATGCAGAAACAGTGGATCATGGAAGCCATGTGAACTTGCTCAACTCTACCTTTCAATGCTTCCGTAGGAGCAGCTCAAGCGCAACCCAGCCAGCCAAAATGCTGTAAAGCAAAAAACGACACCGGCACCCGGCCAACTGGTGGCATCCTGGGTGAAACAGCAGTGGTAAACGTCACGGCCAAAACGGTTGACAACTTCTATGTGTGGGCGCTGTAATCATACACTACGCATCTCGACACCGGAGCCAGCCGCATTTGTCCACCTCTCGCAGGACAATGCTGCATCGAGCAAATCTGGCTTTCTACATATAGGGAAAATTAGGGAAACCTTCAAAGTCTTTGCAACATCCTGATGACTTGCTATCCATCTCCTGCAGTTCTTTGCTCAAAGGCTTGATGCGGCCTTATGATTAAAGCAGGGCTAAAAGTCAACCTCCGAATGCATCATTTCGTGCGTCGGTTTTGCCGACCCCATGGCGGAGTGATCTTGCATTGTTGAGTGCTGCAAGGCCACAATTGAAACCACCCCCAAAGAGATCGGCTTAAGCAAAGGAAGCCGGAAGCCCAGTTTCTCACTTGCGCAACGCCCAGAACCCATTGAAGTCTGGCTCTTACACCCTAATTGCAAAGGTTCTTGTATAGCCCTTGCTTACACAAAGGATCACAGCTGGGGGGTTTTCCATGAAAGCCACGTTCAAAGTCACCCCAAAGCGGGCTCAAGACAAGGAAGCTCTCTTGTGAAAAGGGGAAACCTTTTGGGGTTGACCATTTGGCTGTGGTGGTCAAAACCGTTTTGGGATCCAGTTTTGGGGATTTACGGTGCACCCATTTTAGAACCTGTTTTCGTGGTTGGATTGAATCGGATGTTCACTGGGGGCTAACGGACTTGGATTTTCAAGCCACGAAACGCCGGCCGTCCCGGCCTGGCCGGCATCCGCCTTCGCCCTATCAAAATCTCGAAAAGCTGCAATTTCCAAACGAAGGCAATGTGTTCAAAAGCTTAGTATGAAATGCCAAAGGCAAACCACGAAAAGGTTGCAACGGAACGACTTCAACCTATCTTGACAGAAAACTGGTCGCATTCTAGTTGTGTATGTTTGTAAATAAACAAACTGCATCTGACTGCAACTCCAGGATGGGTGCAATAATTGGAATCCATGCTTGCCCAGGCCACACTACCGCCGCTCATCTGAAACACAAAGCAATATTTCGTAACCCCCCCCATGAACCCGGAAAAAATCCTCTTGCATGGCCAGCAGAAAACGATCGCACTTCCCCTCAGCTCGTTGCTGGAATTTACCACGGATTCGCCCGCCTGCTTTGGGCATCTTTGGGCTAGTGGATGCCCGGCCTAATGACTGTGGACAGTGGAAAAAGGGGGGGGGTTCACCATGTTTAGTCTGGATCCCACTCGCCTCCATATAGTGGTTTCAAGGGAAACAACCCCCAAATGTGTTTGTCAGCTCCCCTCCAAAGTTCCATTTCGGCCCGCTTGGTGGGGAAACCAGCAATCAACAAGGTTCTTCTTTTGAAATTTCTATGTGCCAAAAGTTGATTCTTCCCAGCACCAAACAAAAAGGGATTGGTTGGAACCCACTAAACTCGTGCGTCTGGCCTGGGAAGCAGCCACGCAGGGCCAAAAGCCAAAAGCGCCTTCGGATTGCCGGCGAACGGGAGGTTTGGATTTGCGGGTCCTGCTGTTTTGTTTTTTGTTGTCCAGTTGACACATGTTTGGCTGTGATCTTGTAAGTATCTCAAGTTCTCAGAGCGTAAGTCCAGCGCCACAAGAAACTGACCAGTTTGCTAGTGGTGAACTCATCCAATCCTCGGATCATTGTTTCTGTCTTGCCACGGGTAAGGGGGTCCAAATTTGAAGACCTCTCTTAAACGAATGCAAAAAACAGACCAAAGGAACACAAGAACGAAGCCAATCACTGTCAGGGCTCCCCTGTTCTCGAACACATATACATATATCATATACCGGCGTTGATTGCGTGGCTGACGCGTAAGGCAATGCGTTGGACGAAATGGAGGCCAATATAAGGCTAACCCTCTTGAAGTGCGTTGTTCCTTTTGCAAGCCGCCCGCCAAGAAAAACCGCTGAAAACAACCACCAGCCCAAGCTGGATAGAAAAGTCCCGGCCCAAGCTGGATAGAAAAGTTCCCATATTCCTCCGTCTCTATTGTGAAGCTGGGTATTCGCCTGTGGCTGCCAGGCCTCTAGAAACAACCTCAGAGCATGAACGCGAAATAGGCAATATTATCTGTCTGATTCTGCGTTGCAGTGAAACCAAAAGGGCAACACGTAGGTTGTGTGGCCCGCGTGGCCCCGCAACATTTTGCGCAACATCGCATCACCAGAAACTTATTCGACTGCAAAGTGGGGAGCAAATTGGGCAGGCTGAGCTCTTAAGCATTTCACCCTGGGCGTGCTGCCTGTGCCTTGATATGTACATATATTTCAATGTATATACATCATACGTACAATATCCATATGTGTACATAGTCTTGCATGTATTATGTATATACGTGTATGTACGCATGTATAAATAAATATATATATATATATATATATATATATATTATATTTATATGGTGCCCCCCCTCCATGGACCCTGCTTTGATGAGCTTGAGCGGTGTTTTCCAAGCGTTTTATGCCTTGTTTGCCTTGCGGTTTTTGTGGCAAAATTGCGGAGGGGGTGTGCCATATGTACAGGTACATGTGTGCATACATATGTAATGCAAGCAATGATGTCCACATCTGCCACCTGACAGAGTCTGCGTCCACTAGGTGTTCAATACATACTTCTGCTGCAACCAAGTATAAGCACCCATCTGCAGTCATATGGCTATGATTTTTTTTAGGGGTCTGTAACGCGCGACGCGCCACGAATCTTGTTACAGAGGTCTGTACCGGAGGTCCTTGTTACGCAGGTCTGTAACGGGACAAACATTTCCTGACAAGAAGTATCAGTAGCACGATGTAGCGCAGCACAACGAGGTATGTAATGGCTATGTAACGAGGTGTGTAACGAGGCAAAGCGAAGCGCAGTACGCAAAGCGTGCCTCCGCAGCACCAGCTTGCTTGCAGCTACTCAACGCAAGCCAAGCTGCGGCAAAAAGCGGGGTCGCTGGCCCGGGCTGGGGTTGGGTCTGTAACGAGGTATGTAACGGCTATGAAACGAGGTCTGTAACAAGGCAAAGCAAAGCACTTGATTGCAGCTATTCAACGCAAGCCAAGCTGCGGCAAAAGGAGGGCAGTCACGTCACTGGCCCGGTTTGCTCATCTGAGGTGTGTAACGAGGGCGTGTAACGAGGGTGTGTAACGAGGGTGTGTAACGAGGGGTGTGTAACGAGCCAGCTGGTTTTGTTACAGAGGTCTGTAACAAGGTCTGTAACGAATGTCCGCCGCGGCTCTGTTACAGATCCCTCCAAAAAATCACTGCCATATGTAATTAATCTGCAACCCTCCAAGTTCCCGCAATTTCTGGATTCAAAAGTGAGAGGACGATATTCTCGGAAAAGCTTTCTGCGAAAGTTTCAATCTTGAATCTTCAATACCGCGGTGCGGCGCCTTCGAGTGTAAGAAGAACCTGAATGTTTTTTGGGTTTGGCCAAGATTGACGTTTCTCAGGAAAATTGTTCGTGTGATCTTCAATCCTGAAACGTCCATCCAGTGGTAAAATACTTTCAAGTGCTTGGGGATGCAGTGGAAACGCGTTCAAGTTCTTAATTCGCCTCGGCCACCAGGGCCGGGAAGCGGTCAGACCCCTCCGGTCGTCTAGAAAGTGCTCGAATCCCCTCTAAAAACCGCAGAAACCAGTCAAGAAACCGATCTAATCACCCCCAGAAACTGGTTCAGTTCCCATCCCCCCCTCTAGAAACCGATCAAATCACCCCCAGAAACTGATTCAGTTCCGATCCCCCCCCTCTAGAAACCGGTCAAAATCCCCTCCAGAAACCTATCCAATCCCCCCTTAAAAAACTGTAGACACCGATCAAACCCGTCCAGGAAAATGTCAAATCCCCTCTAACACTCTAACACAAGTCCATCTCCAGCCAAATCCTTCCGGAAACCGGCCAAAACTCTCCGCCGTGGCAACCCTTGCTGGCACAAATCCACTTGAAGAGTGATGAAACCTAGGTGTTTTTTTTTGGGGGGGGATAGCATATATATATATATATATTCATATGGTGCATGGAGCTACTAACCAAGAGAACACACACACACAATTGCAGCACTAACCCGTCAAGCAGAGTATCAAACTGTATAAAAGGTTCCACAGAACACAGAAAAAAACACTCTGCTTTCAATTCTCACTGATTTACATAGTACAGCTATGCAAAGCTTTCGCGAAAAAATGAATTACGCAACTCCGTTGAGATTATTTCGCAAAGCTATCTCAACTTTCTTTGTTCAGTCCCAAGCCTTGAATTTACCCCCTTCTGAGATTTTGATAGGCCCAAGAACCCATTCACCACTTTTGTGCGACCGCTTGCGACCAATCCGTGGCTCAAGTAAACTCCAAGGCACAAACAGCGACACCGCCGCCACGGGTCCAACGCGTCCACGTGCCATGGCGTCTCTCGAATCGATTTGGCGGGAAAACTGCTTCGATACAGTGCGCTGAAAGTGGATCAAGTGGCCGTTGCGATGAAACTCTGCTGTGCATGAAGCCCTTCCTGGATGCATGTCATTTTAGTCATTCCGGCGTATGTCTAGAGCCAAGATTATGAATCCCCTTCATTTGGATGTTATATATCTTTCTTTAGGCGGAGAGGGACAAGCTTGAACAACATAGTTTCTGAAACCTGGCAAGAGGATATGTAATATGAGACAGAATAAGTACAATCATCAACATATGCAACGTTCAAAACTCTATGCGCTCCTTGACTTTGGCACACTTAGTGGGCATACTCTCCACTAACGGGTTGATGACGGCTCAGCATACGCTTCCCAGACCTCAGGTGGGACAAAGAAAGGCGAACATCTGCTGTACGTTGTGTTTACGGAAAGCCCCTCCAAAATTCAAAAGGACAAATGCACCGCGGCCCTTTCCTTTTTGTTGCTAGCCTTGCCCAAGTCTGCTGCCCTCTGCTGCAGGAAGCTTCCGGGTATCCCGATTTGAAAGCAACGAGGCGGGTGTTTTCAGAAAGCCCGGTTGGCAGCGAACAGAGGACCCAAAAAGCTGCAACTTCTTCTTTCCAACCAAGAGGTGGTGCTTGAACATAACCGACATGCTACAAATAGGTACTAACAAGCACCTATCTGGCGAATGCCGAGGCAACGAACCCACAATCAACCAACTATTTTCAACGGTGAGCTCCCTTTGTGAGGTCACCATGCTTCGCCTCAAGCTCAAGCAGTACTTGTTTGCTGAATAACACCTCTGGAACTACCTTCATTCGCGGAACCCTGAAACGGCCAAGCAGGATGAAGACATCCCCAAGAAATGACTACAGCACGACGTAATACCTATACTTTCGGAACAATGACTGCTAGGATGCCCTACCTCTCCCCAGCTGCGTTGCAGGGGTAGGCCCCTAGCAGGGCGAGCGTACCGGTCTCACGGTCTCGGTGACAATCGCATTCACCTCGAAAGTGAGACCAGCGAGCACAAGTTCCCACTGGCTTGTGAGCAACACAAGAATTCCACAAGAAACCGATGGCACCAATACCCCGGTATACCGAGTGGGCGAGCCATTTCAGACTATTGTTAACTAGGCATTCCCAAAGCGCGTCCGGCCTCTGCCTAGGGGTGGGTTTCCTGTGGTTCTCGACACTTCCCGACCTCCGGATTCCAGTGCGTGTTCTTCGAGGTAACCTTGTCGGGTTGGTGTCAAGGAAAACTAAAAGGACACTCACTGCTTGGGTCGCCTTTTTTGGGCACATACCCACTTGGCGCAACGGCCCCCAAGCCGTGCCCTGCCAAGGTTCATCCACACCAGTCACTTATCTGTGGCCCCTCCACCACTGGCCAACAATAAGGATTCAAAAACAAGTTGAAACGGCTCGCATCCCTTATGAACAGGATGTGCAAACATAAGAGAACATCTGAACAAAAGGTAACTTCACTTGGTGAATTATGCGCAGCAACCATGCCCATTTCCCTCTAGAATACTTCCGTCAAACAAAAGTGTCTGCTTGGTGGATGTTTTCCAATCACCGGCAATGAGCAACAACGCAACTGGATGCAAATGGAGAAGCTTGGCAGCGGATGTCGGCTCATTGGCTCCAGAATGTGTGAGTCGTAAAAAATGAGGAATGCCTGACCTTGACTGGTTTGCGTTGGTTTCCTTAAAGATCATCCAAAAGGAGTTGTCCAATTCATTTTCTAGGTTTCCACTTGCACACCATCTGAGTCGAGCCTCAAGGGCTCCACAAACGTTGCTAGACCGGAAGAGCCGCGGGTGTTTGGGAATAAAACACACTCCACATTAGTTGTCCCTTTCGTTTGGAACTTGCACGTCCATGGCTCAACGGATTGCGACCATGGTCCATCGTGGAACAACAGCCGCTTCTTCTCGTGGTCAAAGCGGTGCACCCCACCATGGAGGTGCACAGGCTCCCGCGGGTCCAGTTTCCCCTGTCTCTGTGCTCCATCGGATCCGAGGCCCCGAGCCCACTGACTGGGCGGCTTCTCCAAGAGCAGCACCTTGTCGTTCACCTGTGTCCCAAGGGAGCAACCTAATCCAACCTGAAAATCAGGACATCAGGAAGCCCCTCAGTAGGGAAACTTCGTCATGGGCTCATCATAAGAGGCCATTTCCGTCGATTGGCAAGTCCGAACCCCGAGTTTACCGCACACATTTAAGCCTCAAGTCAAGTCCGCACATTTTGCCAGGACGTATTTTGCGGGGAGTTTGTTGGTGCCTGTCTCAAAATAGGGAGAGCCGTTTCAAGGTGGTTTCACGCGGAAGCCGAAAGAAACTTAAACACGACCACACCGGAGGTGTCTGTGCAAAAACTTTCGGAAGCAAACCCAATATACAAAGAAACCACTCTCGGTTGTAGGTTGGAACACGTAGAAGGCTGGAGTTCAACAACCACCTCTGGTCCGTTCAAACCTTGCTCGGTCCGGGCTGTCGAAATCACGTGGCCCGTCTTCCGTTCATGCCGCAGTATGCACAGGCACTTGCAAGTAAATCTAGGATAGGTCCACAGCTGTACAGTACTATCTTAAACATGTTCGCCAGGACCCTGAGGTTCGCCCGCCAACATAAACCCTACAACTAAACACAACATAAACCTAAACAGTGTTGGAAGGCCCAACATAAACCCTTTAAAGGTGTCTGGAGTCCAACATAAACCCTGGAAAGGTGTTGGTGGAGCCAACAAAACCCTGGTGGGGCCCACATAAACCCTAAAAGGTGTCGGTGGCGGCCGGATAAACCCTAAAAAGGATGGGGTGGGGCCAACGTAAACCCTAAAAGGTGTCTGGGGGCCACCATAAACCCTTAAAAACGTTTCTGTAAACCCTAAAACCTGTTGGTGGGGCCAGCATAAGCCTTGCATAAACACCAAGACAGTGTTGGTGGGGGCAGCATAAACCCTAAAACAGTGTTGGTGGGGCCAGCAAAAACCCTAAAACAGTGTTGGTGGGGCCAGCATAAACCCTAAACAGTGTTGGTGGGGCCAGCATAAACCCTAAACAGTGTTGGTGGGGCCAGCATAAACCCTAAACAGTGTTGGTGGGGCCAGCATAAACCCTAAAATAGTGTTGGTGGGGCCAGCATAAACCCTAAAACAGTGTTGGTGGGGCCAGCATAAACCCTAAAATAGTGTTGGTGGGGCCAGCATAAACCCTAGACAGTGTTGGTGGGGCCAGCATAAACCTCAAAACAGTGTTGGTGGGGCCAGCATAAACCCTAAACAGTGTTGGTGGGGCCAGCATAAACCCTAAACAGTGTTGGTGGGGCCAGCATAAACCCTAAACAGTGTTGGGGGTTGGGGCGAATCTCGGCGCCAACATGTTTTCTCTTGCACCAGATGCGTCTGGACATATTGCAAAAATGACCCTGGCACAGCTGTGACCTAATGGATCACTCCTTGGGAGATGGAACAACACGTAGGAGGATCTAAACCTGAACATTCTCCGAGGATTGAGTCTCCATTCATTTCTTCCATCCCTTCGTTCCAATCACAACAAACACGCACACAAACAAACGAACAAACAAACAAACTGACAAACAAATACAGACGCACAGACGCACAGACAGACAGACAGACAGACAGACAGACAGACAGACAGACAGACAGACAGACAGACAGACAGACAGACAGACAGACACAGACACACAGACACACAGACACACAGACACACAGACACACAAACACACACCCACACACCCACACACACACACACACACATGCGCGCGCACGCACGTATGCATGCATGAACACACACGCACAAACGCAGCAAGCAAGTAAAACAAAACAAAGCAAAGCGGAGCCGAGCAAAACAAAACAAAGCAAAGCCAAGCAAAGCAGAGTGCAAGCAATGCAAACAAGGAAAACAAAGCAAGCAAAGCAAACAAGGCAAACAAAGCAAGAAAAGCAACAAAAAGCAAGCAAAGCGAGTAACACAAGCAAGCAAAGCAAGCAAGGCAAACAATGCAAGCAAAGCAAAGCAAAGCGACCTCACAGCAAAGACAAGCCAAGCCAAGACAAGGTATGGCATACCGACACATGCGCGCGAGGGCACGCACGCACGCACAAACGCACGCACAAACAGCACGCACAGTAAGGGTGCCCGTTTGCCGGGTGGAAAGAGGTGGATCGGATGGACAGTCACCATCAAAAACACAGCAGAAAAAAGCACAATTAATCCTGAGAATGCAGACCTCTCCAATGAAGGGTCCAATGATGCTTCGGGCACCAAACAAGAAGCCCGTTCACGCTGTTTTTTCTCGTTCTGCCGCGGATCGATCTATGATCCGGCCTTAAACTTGCAGGGCGTCAAGTAGACGTGGTTGTTGATCTTGAGGTCGTACTCCTCAACCTGATCCTGGCGCCGTAAAAACACGCGCGCACGAGTCCGCACGAGTGCTCGTTGCTGACCCCCCGGCAAAAAGTTGTTCACTTTGTGGAAAACACCAGTATTTACCAAAAAAGTTAAAGTCTAAAGATCCAACCCAATAGCAGTCAAGGAGTGATAGATGGTCGCACTTGAGTTGAAGAGCACAAGACAAGTCTGCGCATCTGCACTGATTCTCTTGTAACTAAACATCTTTTTTGAGCTTGCCCTTTCCGCGGTGGCCAAAAAAGCAAAGGTGCCGCCTCATGCGTAGGAGTCCCGTTCCCTTTCTTCACGCGAGCGTCGCGCCCGGAGTCCTTGAACTTGGCCAGGTTGCTGATGTTGCTGAGCTCTCGGCAGCCGAAAGGCTCCCGCTCATCATCCTCGAGTCCCGGCCACTGGCCCTCTCGGGATCCGATCAGAGGGCGGCGGAAGCGTAGGGTAGGTACTGTAGTGGGGTCGAATGCGTGAAGGCTCACCCCGGATGTTGACGGCCCTCATTCTTATTCATTAGCATCAAAGGGGGTGCTTGGACCTCAAAACCGTTTCAGTTTTGGTCTGCCTGCAGAAGATCACTACACCCTGACTAAAAAGTGGAAGCCATTGAATCGAAATGCGTCTTCGGGGGAGTTTCCTTGGCGGCCTATCCCAATTTGCACCCGGGTTGGGGGACACCCCAAACCAAACAAAGGAATTCCTGCCGGCGCGTTTCACAGACATGGGATCCCATATGACCCAGTTCCCGTTTTCCCTTTGCCTCAGGCTGGTCCTCTTTCCGGTTTGACTCTCCGGATTGAGCGAAAACCGGCCATCTATGGTGTCCGGGCCTCCCCCGGCCCATGTTACACTCTGAATGCCCCAACCCCCCAACCCCCCAACCCCCCAACCCCCCAACCCCCCAACCAACCACCCCACCCCCTGTCATGGATTTTGTGCAGGAGGTAGTTGCCCGTCGGCTTCGTGGACTTGATCAAGAACTCCTCCTCTTCTGGAAGAGGGCCTTCTTGCCTGGACGGATGCATTGCAACCTGAAAAACATCTGTCACCCGTGCAGTTGAACGGGCTGCAATGAAGCGGAACGGCAATTATCACCTAGGCCGGGGCCTCAGAATTAGAGCGGGAGAGCGAGAGACTTTCCGACCCTTGGTAGCAAAAAACTGTGGTGTTTGCAACCGCCTACTAAAAGCGAGCTCCAAAAACCAACACAAAGAACTAAAAACATGACCCAGCAACAGTGAGAGAGAGAGAGAGGCTGACATAGCGCCTGACAGGGTTTGACAAGGCATAGGCTTTTGCGAAGTCTCCACCGAAAAGCCTCATACGACATGTTGGAACATGAAGCCTCGACCAAACGACTGAAAGGGCAGTTCAAAAGTGGCCTAAGAAAGGATCGACCCACAAGAAGACCAATCAATTCTAGAGGACCGGCTCCGATTTTTGAGAACCAGTGAGGTCCTGAAACCAAAATGCCGCATTTCCCACTGCGACTTCGGCGCTTCGCGAAGCCGCCTGCCCTCCACAGCCAAGCAGACCCGGGTGCCCGCGGGGTAGCAGCAGACCGGCATGCCGAGCGCGAGGGTCTGAGGGCTTTGCCATGGACCGGGATGGATATTTGAAAGTCGGTACATCTACTAGGTCCTCCAGTAGAGAGGTCAGACTAAGTTGGTACCATATGTTTTTTCTGTAGTCTATTTTCGTAGGGAAAGCCTCCCGCAAAAAAGGGTCAAAGGGAATTACTGGGGGACCTAGCCTAGTGATGCCTAGTGCAAAATTGAGGACTGCGTCTTCTGAACGCCAGGGTTCTCCAAATAGATCAATGTACATGATTTATTGCAATCCATAGGTTCAAAACAACCAGTTTCCACCTAAGGAGACGGGTAAGGAAGTGGCTAAAACGCAAAGGTACGGCTCAGATTGAAGGAGGTTGTTCAAAGGAAGCCAAAGCCTGGCTCAGCAAAAGGGGAGCATGCTACAGGGGGCTGGCCCAAGCCTGGATCCCGAACACTGCCAGGCTGTATCAAAAGCGTTCCCTTGTCCTTCGTTTGGTTTCCACCTGGCAGATTCAGAGCGGGAGATTTCCCCCAAAAGGAAGGCAACTGGGGAGCGATTCATGATGGGAGATTGAGCTCAGACTGAAGGCACGCCCTACCCTCGGAGGCCCGGCCAGCGACATGGCTTCCTGGCCCAAGTCGTCGACGGCGGCCGCCTGCCAGGAGGCTGTCCGTGTTAAGACCTGCTAAAAGTGAAGTGAACAACTTTTAGTGGGAGACATGGACAAGTGTGACACGCCACGAAGCTAAACTTGAGACAAGCCAAAGGCCAAACATAATGGCTGGGAAGCACCAAGTTAAATGAGCCCCGGAGAAAACCGCGTGTTTCCCCGAGAGGACATGGGGAAAAAATGGTGGGCCCCCTGCATCACTTTGGAGGGGTATTAAGCCCAAAGTAATCTTAGACAATCGATCCATTTCCGGTCGCCTACATCTCCCTTGAGGGAAGCTCCATTGCTCATTCTCAAAACCCTAAATTAGAGCCATCCCCCAAAAGTGCTTTGTTTTCCGTGGAGTAGCTCACAAGTTTCTAGGGGAAACTTCCCCATTCGTTCCATTGATCCGTCTTTCTTGAAACCAAACACCCTGGGGAAATGGCTGGTTATTGAAAAGAACAATGGCTGAAAAGAGTGGAAATGGAATCAACCCCCAGAAAGTTGGACAAAAAACCGCCGCTCCACACAGAGAGCGCCTGTACGGTGAGGAACTTTAGGAAGCTCTCCGGCTGCGAAAGGAGGGCCTCCCCACGACCTGCGCGCATTGAGTCGCGTCTCAGGCCGCCCCGTCTGTTGGTCTCTCGAGTTGATCTTGGGCAAAGTGCTGTTCAAAGCGAAGGACAAGTCAGGTCAAATAGCGATGAATACAGCTGCACAGGAGAGACAGAGTTCAAATAGCATGACCAGAAAGCCTTCTTCAGGCAGACTTCCCGTCGAATTGCACCGACTGGGGGGTCCTGCAGGCTCAATCGACCAAAAATCCATTGCAGATCATAGTCCAAACCTTCCCACACCTCGCCAAATCACGGGTCGCCCCCCTTTTGGATTGATTGAAGCGATAGTGTTTCCCCTTTCGGCTTCCTTTTCGGCGGAGGTATTTGGCCCAAAGGAACATCGTGGGAAGAGAACCAATTCTCAGATGCCCAGTGGATTACCATGTCATAAGGGCATCCAATTTTTTGGTTGGTTGACTTTAAAGGGGAACCCTTCCCAAAAAAAGGAAAAAAGGGTGCCACTGGGCAGCTGGGAATTGGTTTCCCTCGAAGTCTCCAATCAGCGGGTCCATGCTGTCGGATTGAAGGTTGCATTGAATGGCAGGTGCGGCACAGGATCCACAGGTGCGCCACATCCAACACGTGTCTGCTTTGAGAGTAACCCTTTTCTGGTGATTCAAAGGGAAACAGAAGGAAACCACCGTCCCCCCGAAAAAGAGACGCCCATACTGTGGATGGACGAAATCCTGCATCAAGCAACTTTGGTTTCTGATGATTCCAATGTAAATACTAGCAAACCTGTTGGTTTCAACCATGGTTTCTTAGGTGGTGCGAAATGGACTTCGCAACCATCCACAGTGCCACAGCATCGGGAGTCTTCGTTATCACAGCCGCACGCTGGTGAACGGAGGCCTGTGCTGCTCATGGTACTCCGCCGCTCGTGACGAGGCCGCTCACCTGAACGCATCAGGGTGGGCGCCACGGTGGGTGCTGTGCTTGCCTCACTTCCAATCGAGCGGATTGGCCAAAAAAAATACTGAACTGTTGGTTTACCACTAGACTGGTCTTCCCACGAAGCTAAAATCCATGAACTCAGGAAGTGAGTTACTGTTGAACAAAATGTGGGGGATCACCTGGCCTTTGTGGCATGTGTTCGGCGGCAAAAAAATCAGCGAGTTGCATAACTTGAGGGGGCACCCATTGAGTGCTTTCCGTGCGCTATTTCCGTACAACGGCAGCTTGTGCAGGATAAATTTTCGTCAATCATGGTAATGTTGGGATCCACAGGCTTGCACATTAGGCTCTACCAGCACAGCATCTAGCCACTTAAGACTAGGTACCGCTATGCATGTCCAAGAAGGTTTTCCTACAATCACCCCGCAAATGGCGGCACCCCGCAAACGGAGGAACCAACGATGGGGGGTTGCCATGGGTTGCAACGGAGCAAATGGTTGCCGCAACCCTGGTCAATTGCTCACACTTCCACAATTGTTCGCTTTGGCATCGAACGGACGCTTGCCATGCAGCAGGACGTCCTCCTGCATATTGCTAAAACCGAATGCAAAGAAACAACAGGACCCACGGTAAGATTTAAACACGACTCGATTCAACGCCAGCTTGACCAACGCCCATGTTCAAACTATGGCCCACTTGACGAGGAAACCAACATCACCAAGACAGTAGACACATAGGTTGTCTAAAGACATGACGAGTAAACGCTCGTCCTGCGCAGAGCAAATGCTTTCAATGCAATCCGGGGACTGGAGCCCGACGATTATGCGGTCTCACCTTTTGACTTGATGTTGGTTTTATTTTGACCCATACCTGTGGTCCGTGCCTTGCTCATCTCAAAAACATCCAATGGACCGACCCCAACAGCTTGATGATCCCAACTTGAGCATCCAAGCTCGGACACGTCAGGCTTTGGTTGACTCCAAACTTGCCGACGAGCCAAGCAGGCTGAACATGCTGAGTAGAGTATGATCCAATAGGCGGCAAAAAACCCCTCACACAGCCCTGGGCCATGACCTTGCCACCAGCCGCATCCACCTTCCAAGGGGCTGAAACTCAGCTCCCCGCGCCCCTGACCGCGACCCAACCCCGCGCCTCGGGTCACGGGGTCGCAGGTGGACGCGACCGTGGTGTGGGGCGGCTGAAGCTTCCTGGGCTCTCGGACAAATCCTGGCCCAAGCCATGCGACCCTGGAGTCTTGTGGCTGTGGGTCAAAAATAGGGTAACCCCAAAATGGAACCCTTGTATTTGGAAACATGGACCCAAACCTGTGGTCCCCTGGTGGTTTTATTTTGACCCATACCCTTGTAGCACAAACCGTGGTTGTTTGCAACCCCCCCGCGAAAATGCAAAGAACCCCAAACCTGATGAAGGACAAACATGACCCAACAACAGTGAAGGCCTTGCTTGTGCTCGGGGAATGACGGTTGTTGGGAATGAACCGGAAGGAGATTCCCAAAGAAACCATAGGATGGTTGGTTTTGCTTGGGGTCCTGATTCCCTGCTGAGAACCAGCAAGAGGTAGAGTCTGGTTATACCCTGGAAACTGTGAAAAAGTCATGGACGGTTCATCCAAATGGAAAACCACTGACATGGGCGTCGGTTGCCTTGAATTGCCCTTTTAGCCCAACCAAAAGGCTACATCCTTACAACCCTTGTGGGTTTGGCAGAAAAGCCGTTGCCACTTTTGGGTTGGTCCGTCACCAGGGAAGTACTTATGTTGCAAAAGGTTGAAACACCAGTGAGCCGAACAGTAGAACAAGTAAATCATGTCTTTTGGTTGACTGCTTTGACTTTTGTTAGCGGGGGTTAACCCCCAAAAAAAATCAATGCGAGGCACGGGTGTCCATCACTCAACTGGGACTTGGGCGAGGTGTTTCCCTCATGTCGGTGGACGATTGTTTAGTGGGCAATGCTAAGTTTAGCGTTGGAAATACTGAATGAAGCTTTGGGAACCCTCTATTCAGTCTTGACTATACTAAATCTATTATTGGCAGCACTGAATTTGGTAGTGGAGATCTAAGATCAACTATTAGTTGTGGGAGTTTATCATTCAGCATTGGCAATGCCAAGTTTAATATGAACTATAGTTTGGGTCATACGACTCGTCTAACCTCTTCTTGCAGTTATAAGAACCCATTGCATAGCTAGGAATTGGGGGCTCGATGTTTGGTCTAAGCTTTGGTGTTAAACCCATGTTTGTTTACTTGCTTAGACCGAATCGGTCTAACGCATGTACGGGATATAGTACCAGTACCCTTGATATCATTCAGGTTTGCTGGACTTTTGGCGGGAAATGGCCCCTGTGCCGGGTGAAGCTGTGCCCTTGGAGTGCCGGGTGCCACGCGCAAGCCAACCTATAAGAGAATTACCCGAGGGACAATCCCGGCCCACGACGGCAATGTGAGCATGTAGACCCATGTCGGTTGGCCACGTTTGGGCGCTACTCTTTGAATTTGTTAGAAAGTGAGAATGAATCGCAAAAAGTCCCATGGTGGTGTGGTTTGTTGTTGGCCGACATGGGCTGACATGTTCTAACCCTATAGTTGCATACCAAGGTAGATGGTGGGTTGCCTCAACAGAAGACCCAAGCAAATGTACAGCTGGGCCTCCATTGAGTTCAAGCCCCTCCAAAAGGGAAAGGAGTCTACAGTTTTAAGATAATTGCATATGGATACCCGCATATGGCCATGGGTCACAAGCCCGTACCCGCAGTGAACATCCCAATCCCCGCTAAAATAGACTAAAACGGGTGGTGCACCTACCCCAAAATGGTACCATTGGTTTTGACCCACAGCCATATCAATTCAAGGACACACACACTGTCCACGGAGTACGTCCCCGATTTGTGCTTCGAGCTTGACTAGCCCACCATGGGCTGATCATCATGCCGGCTGTCAGAAGTCTGAGCCCGATTCAGTGACCGCCAAAGGCTTGTCCCGACAAAAGTGGCACGTGTTCACACTTGACTCTTTCTGGATGTCGCTTTCCGCGACTTGTTTGCCCATATCTTTCAAACCCGAATATGCAAATCACTTGAATCATGCATTCATCAGAGACGCACTTTCAAGAACCAGTGGCGGCTCCGCGCTGAGAAAAGTGTCTTGCCTGTTTGCCTTCAGGCTCCCCAAGCCACCAGGCCCAAAAACAAATGCTCATGCAACACTACACCACACAATCAGCTTGCAAGGACAACCAACTGCAACATGTGAACCAACACATTGGCCAATTGCAACAATGAGTGCACTGATCAAAGGCTCTTAGGCCAACAGCAAGCTCAAACCGACATGATTTACTGCTGGGGGATCTATAGGAACTCCCACCGGGCCCAGGCAAAAACGAAAACAACGAAATCCAAGTCTCCATTCGCGGGCCGATGGGCTTGGGAGTTGTGCAATGTCCCCCCCAATAGGTGTCGTTTTTTCAAAATAGATGACCCTGGTGGATGATTGAGCCACCAGGTACACCAGGGCCCTCTGCTTTTCAAGCAAACCAACCAAAAAGGACACCTATAAGCCCCCCCCCGTTTCCCGGCTTTGGTGTCACGGGCAGTCTGTGGTGCCCGCGCGTGGGGTGCGGGAACCAGCTGTGCAGCTGGAAGCTGGCACGGCGGGAAGGGAAGGCACGACAGAGTCAAAAGGCTATAGACCTGGAGAAAAGCAGGCGGACAAAATTCACCAACCTGACTTGAACGGTTTCAAAATCGGGGGATCCCTCATCCTAAACACCAAGGAAACCATTTCCGTGCTCACGGATTCAGGATTCAGTTGGAACCCAAACGAAACCATCAGAATGGAACCTTCATCGTGTCACTCAATTAAACCCCTGGTGAGCTTGCTTGAATTCGTGCAGATTCAAGCACAGGCAAAAGGACATTTCATGACACAAGACATCTTCTGGACAACTGGGCGGGGGGAACTGGCTGAAAGCCAGAACTTGGCAACCATGCTCCACCCTTAGGAGACATGGAAAAGTGTCGGCAAGAATCAATGGTTTACAACTTGTCACATTCTCCACGTGATACAACATGACAAGGCTCGACCATATAGATTGCCCTGGCGCAAATGCCCCGTTGTCAAGACATATCCTGAGCATGAACATGAAGCATTGACACCTCCTCTCTGGAAGATACTTTTCTCCAGGCAACGCTGTACGGGCCAGGGGAAAATGCTAATTCAAACAGCAGCCACCAGCCCCTCGCCCCGGTGCGACATTTCAACATTGGGAAATTGGGATGGTGCAATCAGCATGCAAGTTGACTACAGTAATCCCTTGTTGCCGAAAAGTGCATTTCCCAAAAACACAATGCCCCATCCGAAAGCATATTTATAAAACAGGGGCAACTTCAAGTTTCTGCAAATGGCAAAATATGAACACCTAAAGGATAATTCCAGAGCAAGCATGGGACCACCGGCAATGCCATGTGGCCATACACCATGTTCGCGAGCCGCCGATGTTTTCAGACAACAAACACGTCCGCGAAGCTTGTCAGCTCCCTCCAAGATGTCTCCAGCTCTGCCCAGCCTCTTATCGAACTTCTCCGCGGTTTCTGGCGGCAAAGGTGATGTTCTAAATCGGGGGCTCCTAAACTCGTTGGTTTGAGGTCCGATTGAAACCCGTCCAAGCGGCCCATTTTGGGATTCTCCACCCCATGTTTATTCCTGGCAGAAAAGCGTTTGTGCCGACAAGACATTGCACACTCACACGTTGTGGGGTTGAGCAGAAGGCTGAATTGCTGAAGAAGGAGTCAAAACTCGAGGTTGTTCGGGTCCCCTGGAGCCCGCGTACTTATTTGGCCATGCCCCGACATTCCTGGAAGATGTTGGGCGCCAGAGTTTCCTCGACCCCAAAAGCAGGTCAGTGTGTGGTAAGGAAACCCTGGGTCCTCCAAAACGTGGGTGTCTTCCATAATCATGGGTGTATAACAATAGGGACGCCTCGTGCTT